GATAAAAAATAGATTCAATTTCAATTCTAATAATATATATAACTCCTATTTTTTTTTATCCTAATGATATCTAATATCCGCATTATTAGCTGGATCTTACATCAAAGACCGTCTGGAGTTTATCTTCATATGCTGTACGGCTCATTTCCATTGATTACGAAACATCTGAAGATGAACTTGAGACGATTTTGAATATAAAATCCGACTATTAATACAGGCCCAAATCCCAGTCTGCAATAGTGTTTAAATCTTAAGACTTAAAGAACTAACCACTGTCGATTATTTTCCTCACATTTGACGGTGATTGGTCAGTTTCTTAAGGTTTAAATCTTAAAACACTTATTTATTGCAGACTGGGACTTGAATTTCCGTTTTCGTTATCTTAACATTAAAATGGGTTATTGAAGATAACAGTAAAATTAAATCTATACAATTAAAAACTCAAAAAAGAAGTTAAAAATTATCAATATCATCAAAATAAATTTTCACTAGCTCCTTAGGCCACCTAAGTAAACGCAAACTATTCTTAAGAGCGTCAAAGTAGCATCAAAATTTGGACTCGGGAACTCGACGTATTTTTAATTAAAAAAAAAAACCTTCGATTTTACAACGACTTTCCGCTTATCACTGCGATAACACTTGCGCGCGGCACATCGTTTGACAGATAAAGTTGGAATCGAGATCGCGGCGAGACGAATCGAGGAACAGCCAACGCGAAACCTAATCGCGAAAAGACCGAGAGAGGGAAAAAGAAGCAGGAAAACTTATTCCAACCTTTGCTCGGGCTCGATTAATCCCCTTTTTCATCCGACCGTTTCGTTAAACTGAGCACGATTAGCGTCGACACCCACGGGGGGGGGGAGGAAAAGAGAAAACGAGAGAGAGAGAGAGAGAGAGAGAGAGAGAGAGAGAGAGAGAGAGAGAAGCTTCTCTCGATATAGCGTCGATCTGTTTAAGCCGTGCGAAATGCCACCGACGAGAGGACGGGGCTTTACTCCGAGGGTGTACTCTCTTGCTTCGCAAGCAGGGGTTGCTCGGGCAAAACGGCGAAAGGTCGCAGTCTCCTCCGATGCGCGCGTAACGCGATAAAAGGGACTCTCGTTGCACCGGCCGGCTGATCGCGTCCATCTCCTCCCCAACACGGATGATGATGCTGCTGCATCCATTGCCGCTTCGTTGCGCTTTTTGCGCGCACGCCGCGCGGTTCTGGATTTAGCCGGCTAACAGCCGGCTGGATCGTCTAATCGCGATAGAAGAAACCGCTTGACCCACTTCCCTCGTCGCGACGTGCGCTACGCTACGTTACGCTCTCCCCTGGGACTTCTCATCGTAGGCAGAAGGGGAAGGGGGTATTTATTTATTTAGAAAAATACGCAGGATAACACGGGCGTATGTAGAGCGTGTGCGGCTTCTTTGAAGTCACGTGGATTGCTTTCCGGTCGGTTTCAAGGCGATCTCTCCCTTTCGCGAGGAGGATGTTCTGGCTCCGGTTGGTCGAATTGAAAATGGAAATCGAAAGAGCTTTTGCAAGCTTCTAAGCTTCGCGTAGACGCAAACGGACGATGAAACGGTATTCTTGAATCGATTACGACGAGCGAGCGATTTCGAAACGTAATCATGAAACAACGAAATAATATTTTTATTAAATCGACCTCACCAAATTTCCCTTGAAAATTTCTATCCGAGCCTCGGTTGCAGAGATAAAACATTGTGAGAAGTTGGAGTACAGTTTTAAAGTTTCGGAAAAACCCGTTTTTTCGCGAATTTTTTTATTTCTTCTATATCTTCTTCACGGGAAAAAAATTAATGTGATAAGTTTTAATCAAATACACGTGAATTTTTGAAAAATAGAGTTTGGTGCTTTTGGAACAGAAACCGCGAAAAAAAATGGGGGAAAATGATTTTTTCGAAACTTTACGTTGGAAGGTCGATGTTTTCTCCGAAGAAAAATCGGCTCCGAATTACCACGAGTTGTGGGCCGTCTTGAGATAAAAAAACAGCCGGTACTGATTGCGCGAAGTGCGTCGCGAATGCTTCGTTTTCTCGATCCGGAGATCGCGAAAATGCCCCAAACATGTCAGAGGACAAGACGCCGTCCACGTGGCGACAAGTCGTTCGCTGCATCCGCGGCCCGAAATCCTCGCGCTCGTCCGACGACAAAACAGGTGATATATCGTCGTTCTGGGAAATCCACCTTTCAAGCGCGTCATCGACTCGAGCAATTCCCAAAACATCTCATCTGCGATTTCACCGGTGATTCTCGCTCCCGATTAACCTCCCATTCCCTGAGAATATTGAAAACAATGATAAATTATCTTGGAAATTCTGCCTCTCGAGTAAATCCTGTTCCTATCTTTCATATATTTCATATATTTGACGTTATATATCAATGTTTAATAATGTAATAATACATATATTATATCTGCATCGTACTTAATTCAGATATAAATTCGCGTAATTTCATTTAACCACGTTTACTCTCGCTGTGATTAACGCGACGCGATTTCTCACCGCGCGTCTCTCCTCCGTCCGCCTCTCATTGGCTCCTCGTTAGAGACCACTTTGATTTCGTATCCGTGCTTCCGTCTAGTGCCATTAGCCACTATGTTAACGTATTTACTTTCACACGTCCGCACGGTGTGCGTATAGTAACGTGCGTCGAGGCGACGTGTGTGTATCCGAGTTATTTTAGCGAGCATCTCGACTATGAATCAACCGGCCTATGATCATTCCGAATATATCGGATGCGCCGTATGAAAATAACGCTAGGGAGCGAGTGAAGGTGGGCGCACGGCCCGTGTCACACGTTTCCATTTTTAACGAAAGAGGAGGCTGTGACGTTTGTGACGGGATGAAGACGGACGAGTAACGTGGACGCGAGTGACGCGGGTAGACAACACCACTGACAACCGAGAACGCAAATAATCGCCGAGCCCTCGGCCGATAGCCGCGCGCGCGCGTTGCGCAATTTCGAAAGAGCAAGAGAGAAAGAGAGAGAGAGAGAGAAGTTTACATACATCATCCATGCAACTCTCGCGGAAAAACCGGTCGGCCGTACTTTACGACGCCAACTCGTTCGTCAGAATCCGCCAAGGCTATACACAACGCTCTGACGTAGAGCGCTTCCGAATGGCCGGTCGCGGTCACCCGGTATACATACGTTCTGAGTAAACGCTTTCTTTCCTCTTTTTAACGGGAAAAAATCACGAATCCCCCTATCCTCCGTCTCTCTGGCGCGGTTCTTTCCGCGAAATTTATTTCAAGCGTCTTTGTTGTTCTCCCGACAGCGTTCGCCAGAGATTCGATCGCTTCGGGAGTCTCACGGAGATTCCATCTCGAGGGAGCCCACCCCGGCGATCTCCGCCGTTTCCCACTCGCAAGTCCGATCGGTAATCAGTTCGTTCGACGAAAGCGCCGACCGTGAAATCGATGGTGGAAATTAAGGTCGCGGGCGCGCGTGTATTTCGGCGCTTTCTCTCCGTCAAGCTGAAAACCACCGCGACGGCGGGAAGTCCCACGCGCGGTGGTGCGCAGTGCGAAGCCGTCGGTAGCAAAAACAAATCAAGGATTAGTAGGCTATTCCTGGTCGCCGTATGTAGGCCCGTGTCCGAGAACTACGTGAAAATAGCAGCGGCCGCGGATCCGTGTAATGTGTGTAACGGCTTTTCGGAATCGGCGATTCTTCCGATTCCGACGGTACGATATGACGATATTACGCGCGGTTTTTTTCCCCTCGTCATGGCGTTCCGCCACCGCGGCCAATTGTGACGCGCCTCCGATTACGGACGAGTCGGGCGGAATCGTCAAATTACATCTTTCCTGGTAACACGGAGAAGAATGTGAGATAGGGATGGCGTTATTCGACTTGTACGGGACTTCGAAACTTCGGCGAAGAATTCGACGAAGTTCCAAGATTCGAAGTCGAATTGTCCCAAGTTTCGAACTCTATTCGAAGATTCGAAATAACGAAGATAATGGAACTTATTTTAGAGTGCAACAAGACGCCGAGCAATTAGAGAGTATCAGTTTAACCCAGATAATATTAAGATCTTTAGACCGTTATGTGTTGTTTGGGTAAATATCTTTAGTTTAATTCTAAGAATTGCATTCGTCTGCTTTAAAACAAAGCGAATGCCTGCAAAACGAACACCACGTACTTTTCCGTTGTTGAAATTTCGAATATCTGAATGTTTGAATTTTCGCGCTTCAAAATGTTATTGCTCGAATATGTGGAAAGTTAAGAAACTCGAAGCTTCGGGGAGACGAAGCTTTGAATATAATTTCTGGCCTTAATCTGAGACACCAGACATCAACTGAAGGATAAACTTGACATGAGTCGTGGGTAGGGAAATTAAGCGAAGGGCTTATCTCTTTGAAATTGCTCGAAATCTAGGACGCTTGAGAGATAAGCTCTTTGATGAAAAAATAATTCCCCGCCACTTTCATTTGACTAACTTTGACTCTGTTGAATCGACTCTCGTCAGGCTACATTTTCCTGTTTAGATAAGAAGCAAGATCAGATATCAGATTAAGATACCGATAAGAAAATAAGAGATAAAAATTAATATGAAAGGCATAGATGCGAAAACGAATTTGGGGGGTACTCGCCTCACCGAGGCGTTCCGAGATTTAGGACGATCTGGAGATAAGCTCTTCGTTAAAAAAGGAATTTTCAGCCGCCTTAAGAGCGGCTACTGAAACACTCGCTGTTTAATCGTGAATCGGCACGTTGCATTTCGCCGCGATCGCATGACAATCGACGATCTATCCTCGTGCCCTTTTGTAACTTCCTCTACAAATTCTCTATGATTGCATGATTTTCGTGCGTTTTCGCGTCCACTTAATTTTCTCATTTCAATTTCTCGAAACTTCTTGGCTTCTTGGCTACTTTCCGCTTTTAGGAAGTTCTCCCTGGATCTCTCTCGGGGGGAGCTCGAATTTCCGTTTCCTTTACTTTCGCTGTACTGTAGCGTTTCGGTGTTTTCCGATTGTTTCTATGGGTGGTGCGATGTACAATGCAGGCAAGGATGGCAACAAGGTGACGACCGTCGTGGCAACCCCCGGCGCCGGGCCCGACCGCCCCCAAGAGGTCGCCTACACGGACACTAAAGTAATCGGCAACGGCAGCTTCGGCGTGGTGTACCAAGCTAAGCTCTGCGATTCAGGCGAGTTGGTCGCCATCAAGAAGGTTCTTCAGGATAAGCGATTTAAGGTAAGAGTCTCTTTGTCACCTTTCTCTCCTTCTTTTCGACTGTGTCGGCCATCATCGGTGTCGACTCGTGATAAAAGTACAAAGGAAAGGCACAAAAAGATCGAGTTTTCACCTAGCGAAGAAACCATCTTTCCTTCGTGTGAAGGAAGTCGAGTCGAACTTTCGGATAATTCTCGCGATTCTTCTCTGAAATGAACCGTCCTTTCAAATCGAGTAAGCCATTTTTAGTGACCTTCCGCGTCTGGAAAATTGCGTTCTGATTTTTCTCTCTGTTGCGGAACGACGTTTGGATCGACGATAGAAAGTATCATTAAATCGGCGCGAAACCGATTCTGATCGTCGCCTTTGCTCTTCTTTTTTCAGAACAGGGAGTTACAAATCATGCGTCGACTCGAGCACTGCAACATCGTGAAACTCAAATATTTCTTTTACTCTAGTGGTGAAAAGGTAACTATCTTATTTCTAAGCTTCCCCTCCCCGTCCCTCTTATGAGATACTTCTTCGCGACTTCTTCGAGCCGACCGCGTTGCTCCGTCGCGTTCGGACTCGCGAGGAAACGAAGACCGGATTTGAAGTTTATAATCGGCGATAGAGAAAGAGAGAGCGATAGAGAGAGCTTCCGTTTACTCGCGCGTACGTCTATCGCGATTATCGCTGTCGCAATTACTCGCAATTATACCGTTGTGTAACAACGAACTCTCGCGCGTGCCCGCGTGTGAAATACACCGCGGCGCGCTCACACCCGTCTTCTTTAATGCATGCTACTACGTGTTGTGTTATTTTTTGTAGAACATCTTAAACGCGACTAATCCGGTTTTTCACGTGGACGTAAGTTGAAATGCCAAAAGCGCCAAAATCCACCAAGTAGCTTTGCGAATGAGAGAGAGAGAGAGAGAGAGAGAGAGAGAGAATTCTCTCCGCGATTTTTTATGCAAAACTCGCTCGCTCGCTCGCTCGCCCGCTTCTTTCGCGCGCGCGAGGGAGAGATTTAAATAATCACATCGTAATAATTATTCCCCGCCAACGGCATCTCTCACGACATCAAAATATCACCACGCATATCCCGATCGCCCGCCGAAATCGTCCGACTTGGTTAACGCTGCTTCTCGCTAGTCTCGTTTTCTAGTACATAACATCCCCGAACGTGTGCGTTAATTAAATGTTAATAACAGCAGGCTATGTACCTGTATATCGATTTGTGTGTATGTGTATGCGTCCGAGAGAGGCTGTAACGACGAAGCGAGACGCCGAGCGACGCGTTCCACGAGGTATCCCGAGCTACCGTGGGTCGCTTTTAATCGGACTTGAATCGAAAACTTTCCGGCGCGACGACGGATCGATCTCCCCGTTCACGAAAATTTCGAGAAACCGCCGCTTTCAAAAGTGAAGTTTCGCTCGCGAAATTACGTTCCTCGAGATTTTCACCCGATAATTTCATAAGTCGAGTTTTCCATTTAACGAGAGTTTTGCGCGGAAAAAATATCTCAATTCCTGCGCAACTGAACCGGGATCAAGTGAAAGCTCTCGGCGACAAGAAATGATACTTCCGTTACCGCGAACTGAGGACATTCCCGTGAACATTCAGTTGCATTAAGGAGATTGTAGGAACGAAATGAGCTTGATAAGAGCTCGATGAAACGTGCACTTCGTATTCGCCGAAATATCACCTAACCGTTCCTGCAATTAGGAAGAGATCGACTATTCGAGATACTTGCAATTAAAATTCACACCTTTTTATACGCGCCCCTTGAGATTAACGTGCTGTTTTTAACATCTGTTTTTAGTATCTCTTCTATTTTGTCTTGAAAATAGAGCGGTGTTAAGTTCAGTTATATTCCAAGCTCTGTCAGACCGCCTGGCCGACGAAACCGCCGTTAAAATGTCGCTAGTTGCGGGACACCCCGTTGTGCACCTCTGACAATGGTACACGGCACGAGCGCGTCGCGAACGCGACGTTTGGTTTTGGAGTAGTTTGCCTTTGAGAGTACGAGACGTGCTCTCTCGTAGACCTTGAAGAGAAACTCCCGCCGACTTCGCGACCGAATTCGCCGTTCTAATATTCCTCCCTTTTCTTCTAGAAGGACGAGGTTTATCTCAATCTAGTCCTGGAATACATACCCGAAACTGTGTACAAAGTCGCCCGACACTATAGCAAAAGCAAGCAGACGATACCAATCAGTTTCATCAAGGTGAGTGTCTTCGCGAGTTCTCGTCGGTAAGCTGATGGTGGATGAGAGGTGCTCTGCGCTCCAACGTTCTCCTTTTCTCTCTTTGCAGCTGTACATGTATCAACTATTTCGTTCGCTGGCGTATATCCACTCGCTGGGCATCTGCCACAGGGACATCAAGCCGCAGAATCTGCTCCTGGACCCGGACACGGGCGTCCTCAAGCTCTGCGACTTCGGCTCGGCCAAACACCTGGTCAAGGGTGAACCCAACGTGTCTTACATCTGCAGTCGCTACTATCGCGCGCCCGAGCTCATCTTTGGTGCTATCGACTACACCACGAAGATCGGTAAGCTCTCGACGGGCGTCCGTACAGAAGAGTCTCCATGGCGATTCTCTCTTCCTCTTGAGATCATCTCGAGGCTTCCTCCTCCCCCTCCTGTGAAACGGCTTTATCGCCGATCCTCCTCTCTTCTCCGTGAAAAATCACGCTCTTTGTCTTCCCCGCAGATGTATGGAGCGCGGGTTGCGTGTTGGCGGAACTGCTGCTCGGCCAGCCGATATTTCCCGGCGACAGTGGCGTGGACCAGCTCGTCGAGATTATCAAAGTCCTCGGTACGCCTACACGCGATCAGATACGTGAGATGAACCCGAACTATACCGAATTCAAATTTCCACAGATTAAGTCGCATCCCTGGCAAAAGGTAATCCACTTTTCTCTATTTACGACTTAGCCTCTCACTGTACCTCGTTCTATCATCATCGCTCGATCGTCTCTTGAACGTACACACACACTACACGCATACATTGTTCATCACACACTCGTAACACACATACACACACATATGCATACATATATACATACATAAACATCTTTCATCACTTGTGTTCCTCTCGTCTCGCGTGTTTAGCAACTCTGTGACTAAGACTTCGCGCTTGACGACCGAAGAGTTCACTCCTCCCCCTCCCTTCCCTCCTCCCTCTTTCCCCGCGGGTCGCCTTGAGAACGTTCCGACAAACACTCGATGAATTCCCCCGAATATCATCCTCGTTCTCGTTTTGAATGCCAACTATCGGAAAAGAAACTCTTCGCTTGTCGCGCGGTGAGAAAGAAAAAAAACAGAAGGTAGGGTCGAGCCTGACGATAACAACATTGCATGCGGATGGAATTATTCAGCGCGCGCTCGCCGGGGAGGCGAGAGGGAAGTAGCTTTTTAACGTTGGAAACTACCTCTCTCTCCTTCTCCCCCCCATTGTACCGCCCCGCGCGACTAGGGCCCAGAGGCGCCTCGATCGTCAGAGTGTCACTCATCAGTACATGTGTACTCGTGGTTTGCAGTATATGCTTCAGCGAATGAGTGCACCTATGTGTTCCACGGAGCACCAGAAGATCAGAGTAAGTGGTACCCACTTGCAACGTGTTGCTCGATATTGGCTGGCACAAACGTTTCCTTCACTCTACTCCGCCCGTTACTACTAACACCCCGAGTGTAACTACGTCGATTTCGACGCCCGGACGAATCTGTCCGAGGAACGATGGGACGAAAGATGCGCGAATGAAGAGATGATCTTCGATCACTGCCATCAGTCAGAGCCCGTTTTTCCCGACCGTCTACGATCGGGGCGTTTCGAGGACGCGGATGATGCACGAGAGGCTCATTGTCTTCGCGAAACGCAAACTCCAGATGGTCGGGAGAAAGAGGGACAGAGAGAAAAAGAGAGAGAGAGAGAGAGAAAGAGAATAGGCTGTTGGACCACCTTTCGGTATCGTGTGACTCTCATTGAGACGCACGCAATGCCTAATTCATCTACCTTGTATTCTCTCAGTAAGCGAAAGCTGCTAACGTTACTAACGATTCTTGTTTCACGCGCGATCTGCTGTTGCGACTGAAAGCGATTGAGAGATAGATAGAGAGAGAGAGAGAGTGAGAGAGGAAGAGAGAGAGATAGAGTGAGAGAGGAAGAGAGAGAGAGAGAGAGAGAGAGAGTATCACTTGCTCTGACATTCCGGTGGTCTGTCTTGTGACTTTTGCGTTTGCCGACGACTTGACTGACTGGTGAGATTTCTGTTAACACAGTGTGTTTGTGTTATTGTTGTGGCAGACTAATGGCAGAGTGTCTACTGCCTGGGAAAATCTGGAAACCTCTGGAATGCTCAGGGAATTTATTTACGCCTGGAAAAATCGAGGAATTTTAAATAGACATCGCCCGCAAACCATATAATCGCATTGTTCGTAAAGAAATATTGTGTAATTGACTGAATTTGATTTAATAATATTTACTTCATTAAGAATCATAGAAAGAAAAAGTAGTTTGGGACTTTTCGGTTTGATTTTCAATTAATAAGGAGTAGCGTTTTATAAATCGTAGACGCGAACTTGTTGACATTCTGTGTATATATAAACATTTAACGTTGTCTTGAAGTTTCTGTTTAATATTTAAATATCAGCACTCCTTTTGCGCATATATTCCCTATCTTTTGTTTTATAAGCTTTTATGAATGGAAAGTATCAAGAACTTTGCTGAGTGAACATATATTCATTTGCAAGAGATACATTCTGAAAATATTTTCGTTTCCCCTGGAATTCTCAACAAATTGCCTGGGAAAATCAGGGAATTTCATCGGGCTCAAGTAGACATCCTGAGTGGCCTTTTGTGTCTGTTCGCGCGAAGGGAACGCTTTGTGTTGTTGCTCGCCTTAAATGTAACACGCGTACACCAACAACTCACACACATACGCCCCCGCACACACACACACAATCAAACTTGCATCGTTCTGTCCTGTGTTTAATGCTGTTTTACAACGCAAACCGAAAACAGATAAAGGAAGTAAAGGACGTTTTGCGAGAAGCAACGAAACGACAGAACAGAAAGAGATTGTCGAACGACGCATACGATCGAACGAACAAACGGCGACGGCCGGAGATGAGAGGGAAAGCGATGGAGGAAGAGGAGGAGAGGACGGCAGTGTCAGGGCAGACTGAACGATGGATCTCGCTTTTGCAGGTGTTCAGGGCGCGCACGCCGCCGGAAGCGATGGACCTGGTAGCGCGGCTGCTGGAGTACACGCCGTCCCTGCGTATGACGCCGTTGCAGGCGTGCGCGCACTCGTTCTTCCACGAGCTGCGCGATCAGGGCACGCGGCTACCGAGCGGCCGCGAGCTACCGCCGCTCTTCAACTTCACCGAGCACGAGCTGCGGATCCAGCCGATGCTCAACCCCATGCTGATACCGAAGTACATGCAGTCGTCCACGGATAACCCCGGCGGTGGAGGAGGCGGCGGCGGCGGAGGCGGCCAGTCGGAGGCCACGGGCGCCGCCGTCGGCGGCGCGGCGGGCGCCAGCGGTAACTCTAGCGATAACTCTAGCGCCAATCCCAACAGCACCACCACCACGACCACCACTACGACCAACACCAACACCAACACCACCCACAACACCGACAACCCCGGCCAATCGAACATGGCCTGAGCCACCACCAGCCGCTTCATCACTCTCTTTCTTTGATTTCTTTTCTCTCCGTCCCCCCC